CCTCATCCCCGGGGTCGGCACAGTCCATGGGTGCCCCCCCTGAGCCGCAGCCCGGGGGCTGGCGCCGCCCCTGTGCCACATACCCAGGAGCCAGCAGCGCCCATGTGCTGCATGCCTGGGGCTGGCGCCACTCCTGTGCTGCACGCCCAGGGGTGGGGCCGCCCATACGCCATGTGCCCGGGGCCGGAAGAGCCCATGCGCTGCACTCCCAGGGCCAGTGCCGCTCCTGTGCTGCACACCCGGGGCTGGCACCGCCCATACGCTGCGTACCCAGGGGCCGGCACTGCCCATGCGCCAGATGCCCAGGGGCGGGGTGGCCCCGATCACTTGGCGGGCACACAGAAATGGCCCGGCGGGCACCATGGCGCCCGTGGGCACCATGTTGGGGACCACTGCTCAAGAGGCTTTTGTGCAAGAAGGAGCTGTGTAGACTGGGGCTCTTCCTGCCTTCTGCTTCCCCTGGCACCAGCCTGGCCCTGGGCCTCTTTCCTGCCAGTGCCATGGGGCCAGGTGAAAAGCAGGAGGCTATTTCATAGTCTGGTTATGGGCAGTGACCTGTGCATGCTGTGTTGGGGGGGGAGGGGAGAGTGTCACACGCCTTCTACTAGAGCTGGGTATTAAATAAAAAAACAAAAAATAAAGAAGCAGCTGGGATGGGGCAGCTGGAGGGAGCCAGGAGAGCAGAGGCAGCCTGAGAGCTGAGAGTCCCAGGTGCCCCCCAAAAACATCAGCTGCAGGTCCCATTGTGTGAGGGGCCTCATCCTGGGCTGGTTGCTGCAAAACCCTCCCATTTCATGTGCTTTGACTTTCTTGTCCTCAGGCTGGTGAAAACAGAATTCTGTCCCCCCTGCTGGGTGTCAAAAGCCCAGTGGTGCTCTATCTGGCTCAGCCGGAGGCTGGGATGTGCTGGAGCCAGGAAATGCAGGGGGCTGAATTTGTGATTTTTGTTGCTTCCCCTCTGCCCTCATGTCTAGTCCCAGTAGTTGCCAGGCTCTGCCTAGTGCTCCCTGGTGCTAAAGGGAGGGAGTCTCAGGACTGGGCCTCAGAGAATGTGTGTTCCCTGCTTCTGAGAAAGGAAAAGAAACCTGTTCTACTCCCTGCGCTGGCTCTAGGCTGAGGCAAATCAACTCAACACACCTTAATTGTGGATATTGCGTTAGGCATAGGTACTGTTTGGGTGA